CCAAAACTATATATACAAATGCTGGGCAAAAAGAGACAAATGCAGTCATGATATTAGAATTGATCCTGGGGTCTGGCCACAACCCTAGGGACCTAGTTTCTGAGTCACGGCTTGGAAACAGTTGAGATCCCCACCCCATAACCATACATAAAATTGCTGGGCATAAAAAATCAAATACAGATATGCTACAAGGATTGGCCTTGGCGTCTGGCATATTCCCTTGGATCTCATTTGGGAAGATTTTGCCATGATTGCTTAGATATCCGGGTGAGCGATACAGGCCTTCTGGGCCTCTTGTTTACCATCATTTTTTTTTAATTTTGATAGTTAACAAAGGTTATAGTTAAAGATGATAGTGGGAAGAAGACTTTAAGAACTTCGTCTTATATATCGTCCGTAAGGGTCACAGTCCTGGTGATGTGCTAGTAGGTACTTGGGATAGATTGCTAAAGCTTTCCTCATATCATTGACCTTGACCTTCTTACATGGTCACGTTAACAAGCTCAAACAGCATTATTTGAAAAATCATAAGGTTTAGAGCTTAGAAGTTTGATATATTATGTAGATCAGATGTGAGAACATTTTGTTAGTCCTTAGGTTATAACTTGCAATAAGGTGAGGTCCCCATCATTTAACAATTTATATGGTTGCTGGGCATGGAGAATTTAAAGAAGACAAGCATGCTACTGGGAATTGTACCAGGATCTGGTCCCACCCTAGGGACTTATTCACTCGTCATTTCATCAGAACAATGAAATTTCAAATCTATATCCATATATGTATACAGACAGATCACAACCAAAAAAGAATAAACCTCAACTTATCCTGAGCTTGTTGCAATTCACTTCTACACTTAGATCTCAACCAGATTTGCTATGAAGCATTCTTGGGACCAGCAATACAGAGCCTAAAATGGGAAGTATTTACAATACATGTACTACTTTTAATAAGATTATCTTGTCACGATAATATAAATATCCAGGTGAATAACACAGGCACTTCTGGCATCCTGCTTAAAATCTACTTCAAATTGAACAAGAAATATGAAATCTAAATATCTGTTCATTGCCGGAACAGAATTTGGTTTAGCTATAGTCCTATAGTCCTGAATGTAAGGTTGTAGACAAATCAAATGACATGCATAGTGTTTATATTTACATTTGGGGAAGAATACAGACAAATTCTTTATACATTGATGCATAAATGTATTGCATCGGTATAAGAAGGCGAGCCAAAAAGCATGACTGGTTAAAATTAATATGGATGGCTTTAATTCCTGAAATGATGAATAATTTGTTTTGAATACGCCTTAGATCATTTTGATATAACAATTGTGTGCATACTGTTACCACACCTACAGTTTACAAGAAGTAGGGTTATATGTGTGCGGGCAGGCTTTAAAGCTATCTATAACGAATGGATGTGTTATGTAATATATATAGCTATGATGACTCAGATATGTGTGTATGATACGACACAGTCATGGTGATCAGAAGGCGACACCCATCTCTAGTTTGTGTATATTTACGACACAGTCATGGTGATCAGAAGGCGACACCCATCTCTAGTTTGTGTATATTTACGACACAGTCATGGTGATCAGAAGGCGACACCCATCTCTAGTTTGTGTATATTTACGACACAGTCATGGTGATCAGAAGGCGACACCCATCTCTAGTTTGTGTATATTTACGACACAGTCATGGTGATCAGAAGGCGACACCCATCTCTAGTTTGTGTATATTTACGACACAGTCATGGTGATCAGAAGGCGACACCCATCTCTAGTTTGTGTATATTTACGACACAGTCATGGTGATCAGAAGGCGACACCCATCTCTAGTTTGTGTATATTTACGACACAGTCATGGTGATCAGAAGGCGACACCCATCTCTAGTTTGTGTATATTTACGACACAGTCATGGTGATCAGAAGGCGACACCCATCTCTAGTTTGTGTATATTTACGACACAGTCATGGTGATCAGAAGGCGACACCCATCTCTAGTTTGTGTATATTTACGACACAGTCATGGTGATCAGAAGGCGACACCCATCTCTAGTTTGTGTATATTTACGACACAGTCATGGTGATCAGAAGGCGACACCCATCTCTAGTTTGTGTATATTTACGACACAGTCATGGTGATCAGAAGGCGACACCCATCTCTAGTTTGTGTATATTTACGACACAGTCATGGTGATCAGAAGGCGACACCCATCTCTAGTTTGTGTATATTTACGACACAGTCATGGTGATCAGAAGGCGACACCCATCTCTAGTTTGTGTATATTTACGACACAGTCATGGTGATCAGAAGGCGACACCCATCTCTAGTTTGTGTATATTTACGACACAGTCATGGTGATCAGAAGGCGACACCCATCTCTAGTTTGTGTATATTTACGACACAGTCATGGTGATCAGAAGGCGACACCCATCTCTAGTTTGTGTATATTTACGTCACTACAAGGCCCCTCCTTCCTGTTGTTTGAACTCTTTCTCGATATAATCTTGGAATTATAAATTCTGGTTGCCGCTCATTGATTACCTTGTAGACAGGTATGGCTACCTGGTACGAGGAAGCCTAATGACTTTACCTTGAACACTCACTATCATGACTGTTCTGAAGACAAGTTCTTGCTGAAGGTAATAAGTTTGTTGTGACATTGGCATTAAGTTCAAAGGTCAAAACAAGTTTAATCAGCATCAGGAAAAAATTACCTTCACTTTTACGTCAAATATCAAATAAGTGCAAACTTTTTACAAAAGTCTTGTGTCAGATTTAAAGTTCATGCCATTTAAGATATATTGATGAAACTCAAATTGTGCCTACATCACACACAGAGGGTGTGCTTAGCACTTTATCTACATGTAGGTCATTATGACATGACCTCTACTTCTAAGTAAAAGGTCAAATGAATATTAAGCTAATATGTATATTCATTAGCTGATAAGGGGGGACATAAGTTATTGCTTACCAAAAGAAATCTTTAGTTACTGATGTAAAATTATTGTTGATCATTAATAAGTGATATCAAATAACCATTCATATTTTGTTACAGTTGTTTTCTGAAACTTAAGCCTAGTCATAAACTCTTACAAACCAGATCAAGCAAATCTGGATTTCAGAGAAGATGTTTTTGTAGATTATCAGTTAGATCATTGAATGGGTTACGAACCACTGCTAGAAACTGTTACATAGTACTGGAAACTGTTACTTAGTACTAGAAACTGTTACTTAGTACTGGAAACTGCTCCTTAGTACTGGAAACTGTTACTTAGTATTGGAAACTGTTACTTAGTACTAGAAACTGTTACTTAGGACTGGAAACTGTTACTTAGTACTAGAAACTATTACTTAGTACTGGAAACTGTTACTTAGTCCT